CCCCTACCCCTATTGCACTCCCCCCACCCCTGTGCCTCTGCCTCCTCTCAGCAGCCTTGGGACCCCCCTCCTTACTTTACTCTGCGTCAGTTTGTTCTTCTTATTCAGCACGAACACGCCCTTGTCCACAGCCACCAGTCCCACCCGGGCCCCATGGTCACCCTCTATCTTCAGGGTCATCTGCTGCCCAGGTGAAAGCTGCCGGTCTTCAGACTCGCCGCTTTTTACCACCAGCTGTGGGGTAGGTGGAGACACGGGAAGAAGTCAGCCCTGGGACGGAGGAGTGCCAGGCATGGAGGGGGTGCTGGGCTGAGTGGAAAGAGAGAAAGGGTCGGGGGAGAGGTTGCAGGAGAGAAAGTGAGAGAGAGAGAAAGCGGGGGAGAGAGAGAGAGAGAAAGGGAGAGAGAAGGGAGAGCAGGGGGGAAGAGAGGGAGGAAAAGGGGGAGAGAAAGAGGGAAAGAGAGAGGAGGAGAGACAAAGGGAGAGAGAAAAAAGAGGAAAGGAAGGAGGGAGAGAGAGAGGGAGAGAGGGAAAGAGAAAGAGAGAGGGGAAAAAGGAGGGAGAAGGAGAAAGAGAGAGAGGGAAAGAGATAAAAAGAGAGACAGAGGGAGAAAAAGGGAGAGAAGAGGAGAGAGAAAAGGAGAAAGAGCGGGGAGAGGGAGGGAGCAGACCCGGGCGCTTACCGAGCCCACACAGGAGTCCTTGATGTCCACCCACACGGAGTCAGCCACCACCTCCCTCTGGCCGCTGGCGCCGATCAGCGTGTAGTAGGCCACCAGGCGGAAGGACGGGATGAAGTCGGTGGTGATGGACAGCGGCAGCACCACCAGGTCCTGGCCAGACTCTCGCGCCTGGCGCCCCACCTTCAATAGCTTGCCCTTGTTCATGATCTGGGGGGACAGGCTGGCCTCAGGCTCGGGAGGGTGTGCGGGGAGGGGTCTGGGATGGGGAAAGGGGTCCTGGGGCTTCAGAAGAAGCGAGGAGGAGGAGAAGGAGGAGGAGGAGGGGGGCAGGGGCAGAGGTTTCCAGGTGGCCACGGACCAGGTAGGTGTAGTAGCGGATCTTGGCCTCCTGGGCGCGGTCAATCCGCAGGAGGAATTGGACGTTGAGGGTCTCCCCCGGCCTGAGCTCCGTGCGTGACACTGACAGGTGCAGGTAGTTGTTGGAATTGCCCATGGTTTTGTAGGGCTCTGCCTGCATGGTCCTGGTGGCCTGCTCTGCCTCCGAGAGCCCCTGCTTCTGGGTGCGCACCTGGGTGGGGAGACAGGGAGGCATGCTGGTCCCTCCCAAGGATGCCCACACCTGAATCCCCGAGACCTGGGAACTGGTGGCCTTTCTTGGTGAAAAGGACACTTTGCAGGTAAGAGGAAGTTAGGGACCTGGAGGTGGAATCATTATGCTGGATCCTGTGGAGCTAATGTCATCATAAGTGTCTTTACTAAGTGGGGGCAGGGGAGAGAGGGAAGGACAGAGAGACAAAGAGGGAGAGAGCGAGGGAGAGGGAGGAGAAGAGGAGGAGGAGGGCGATAGAGGAAGAGGAGGAAGAGGATGAGGAGGAGAAAGGAAGCAGAGAAGAGAGAATGAGAAAGAAGAAGACTGGGGAGAGAAAGGGAGAGAGTCACTGGAAGACACTATGCTGACTTTAAAGACGGACAAAGGGCCATGAGCCAGGCCTCTAGGGTGGCCTCTAGACGCTGGAAAAAGCAAGGGAACGAACTTCGTCCCGGAGCCAGGACTGCTGACCTCTGACTGTAGACCCATGAGTGTGTGTGGCTTTAGATCACTAGGCTGTGGCCATCCGTCATGGCAGCCACTGGAAATTCATACGCATGCTGAGCACAGCAAGGGGTAAGCGGGGTGCCCAGCCCAGGAGCTGCAGAGGGACACCGAGGCCATCGGCGACCTCTGCAGCTGCCTTGAGACTTGCCTCCCTCCCAGTGAGGGGCAACAGGGCCACGTCCACAGAAGCCAGGAGAAAGGAGACCACCTCACAACAAGGGGCCTGTCCCCGACACTGCACAGCCCTCCTGTGAGATTCAGGCTCCTCCCACCGTGGGAGTGGAAAGGCTGTGCACGGATGGGGTGTCTCTCCGTGTCAGCGGAAGGCGCAGGGCGTGTAAGCGGGAGAGCCCTGTTTCCTCCAACTGTGTGCCCCTCTATGCAGATGAGAATGTCTCTATGCAAATGCCAGGACCCCCCTGTGCAAATGCCGGGACCCCACTGTGCAAACGCCAGGACCCCACTGTGCAAACGCCAGGACCCCCACGCTGTCTTCCCAGTGGTGGGGTTCTGAGGCTGAGCCCAGACGCACCGTGATGCTGAGGGGCTTCTGGCTGGGGTGTGTGTTGATGCTGAGTTTCGCCACACCGTCTGCCTGGGTTAGAGACTGCACGTTTTCCTCTCCCTGGACTGCCACGGGGACTCGGTAGGCTGGAGAGCCATCGGGGTTTGTCACGAACACCTATGATGTGGGGTGCAGGCAGGGGAGGTTCAGGCAGGCTCAGGGGTGTGGTTGGTGTACCAGAAGGGAGGAGTGGGACCCCTTCCTGCCCTGGGTCTCACCATGAGGTCAAAGGGCATTCCTGGTTTGAAGTACTTGGGTGTCTTGGTGAAGTGGATCTGGTAGGGGGAGGTCACGATGGGGATCCCACTGCGTTCTGCCTGCACCATGTCACTGCCTGAGAGGACCAGCTGTGAGTGTAGGCTCCTGGGCCACCCCTCAGAACTAGGCCTCCTCCCTCAGACTGGACCCCACCTTCAGACTAAGCCTCTTCCCTTAGAGTGGAGTCCACTTTCATACTGATCCTGTGCTCCTCATCAGATTAGGCCCCAACTTTATGCTGGCCCTGCCTCTTCTATCAGACTGGACCCACCTTTATACTGGCCCTGTCTTTCTCATCAGACTGGACACAGACTTCATACCGGGCCTCCCCATCAGCTCAGACCCCACCTTTATACTGGCCCTGCCTCCCCCGTCACACTGGACCAATCTTTATTCTGCCCCTGCCTCCCTCATCAGACTGGACACAGCCTTCATGTTCGGCCTCCCCTTTCAGACTGGGCTTACCCCATCAGACTGGACCCCACTTTCACTCTGAGCCTCCCTCCTTAAACTAGGCTTTCTCTTCCAACCGGGCCTCCCCTCTCAGACTGGCCCATTTGGTGGTCCTTAGTTTGGCCTTCAGACCAGGCCTCACCTGAGTGCAGGATGACAGTGACGGACACGTACAAAGACTTCCCCACCAGGTCCTCGGCTCGGGCGTTCTGCACCCCATCCAGCAGTACCTGCCTTTCCAGCAAGGCATCCCCTGAGCCATCCTCAATCTGGGAGGGAAGAAGAGAGCTTAGAGAGGGGAGGGGACTCAGAGGAGGCGGGGAATCGGGGGAGGGACCTAGCAGCCTCTGTAGATGGTACCGGAATGCGCCTGAGGGATTCAGGCAGGGAAATCCTCTGCTCGTTGTCCTGGACCCCGAAGATGACAAAGGCAGTTCCCTGCACTTTCTTCCCATAGAGGAACCTACAGGGCAGACCAAGTGGGCTTCAGCTTGGCCCCTCCTGGAGAACGGGATCTCCCCCAGCTTCTCCTGCCTGTGCTGAAGACTGGGGCCCCGGCCTACTGCTGGCCCCTCACCTGGCCCCACCACCAGCCCCCCACCTGGCCCC